TGCTTTGCTTCGACTGCGTTCTTGAGCGCTATCGGTTTAGTCATTCGTATGTGAGATTCCACCAGGCCTGTCGTTGTAGTTTGCTCGCTGCTGGGGTCAGCGCCAGCGAACTCTCTCACGATGGTGTACCTGTCTAGTGTCGTGCCCACTAAGTCGGAGGTGGGCGAGTCCTTTTGACCTGATACGAAGACCTCCATGTGGCCGAAGAACATGATCCAGCAGTCGCCCATGCTGCATAAGTACTCTAGGCCAGTCTTTTTCTTCATTACGTTGGTGACCTTATATTTGAGATGCTCGACAACTAGAATAAGCCACACCTTGTGCCAGAGAAAGAAAAGATCGCCTTGAACTCGCTAATTGAATCTCCTCGTGCTGTGGTCCCTGAAAGCTGGACGATGTAGTGGCATCGAGTACGTGCGGCATGCCTCGCACAAGTCCTTGACGACTTGAGGGCGCATGTCGACGACGCCTGCTTCCACTCCGAGCGCTGCCAACAACCTGGCCATCTCATCTGATGTCGCGCGCCAGAACTTCGAGTGAAATACCCAACACTAGTCCCAACCTTGCTTGCTCCGTAGCCGCCTCTTCGAGTTGATGTTTAAAGCGCTAGAGCCCTAGAGATCGGATTTGGGCTGGATGGTGATAGCCTTGGATGGCGTGTCTTTGTTGATGCTTGGTTGGTCCGTGGGAGCGCCCTTCGAACTCTCGTCACCTGCTGGAGCAAGTCCTGGTGGCGGTTCGGGCACTGGTGGAAGTTCGGGATTTGGTATTGATGGTTGAGGCTCAGGTGCTGGATGTGTTGGTATCGCTTGTGCGTGTGCTGGAGGTGTTGGTACTGGATGTACTGGAACTAGAGGTGCTGGTACTGGATGTGCTGGTGCTGGAGGTACTCGAGCTGGATCGAAGCGGCACACTTTCGATCGTCCGTGTTGTGTGGTCGCCTTAGTACCATGTTTGCAACGATCGCACGTCCAGAATAGAAGGTCCAATCTTGTCGATCACACTCTCGATGCGCTTGCCGATGTCCTGAAAGATGTTACTGCACATCTTCTCGGTGTCGAGCTTGGCGATCGATGTCTGTGCTCCTCCAACTAGCCATGCATGAGACCGGGCGTATTGGCGCATTGGCACACAATTCCCATCTTCCTCGTTCTGACTGGTGCCATGGACCTCGTGCGCGTCTGGATCGGGGTGCCTCCCGCGTCTCGTGCGACGTGCTGGCGCTGATCGCAGGTGTTGTTGTACATCCGATCGTCGTGATGCAGTTCTCGTAATGGCGACTCGTCCAAGATCGTGCTCTTGGCCGGGTTGTATGTAGTCTGTGCATTCGCGCTTGGTCGCCTTGCAATAGTCGGTGATCCATTGGAGAGCCAGCATTTCGGCGATGCGAGTGAATGCCTTCTTCTCTGGATATGTCGTAGCGATTGCCCGCGTACAGGGTGAGGGTGCGCATTCAGGAGCGAATCTTTTAACGTGGATTCGTAGTGTGTGGGGGAATGTCTTGATGCTGACCTGATCATCTTTCACACTCATACCCAAGCCATATCGCATATTCGTTGGGAAGAAAGCGGAGAACTCGCTTCTGAAAGCCCTAAGGGTCAAGCAATTGTTGCTTGAGAAGTGCTCTTGGAAAGTCCACGCTCGTAATATGTTGGTCTTGACGATGTTTGCGAAATGGTAGTGCGTTGGCAGGAATGATGGCTGCCAACTTCGCTTTGCTATAGAACGTCTCAGGGATGCCGACGTAGTTCTTTGATAGTCGTTCCCGTTGTCGCTCATGTATTCCGTCAGGAAGCATACCGCCTGAATAGCGGCTGCCTTTGAAAGTACACCATGTCTTCCAGAAGTGCCGAGTTCTTGTGATCGTTGCTCTCCGCGGCGGGTACTGATGTTGGTCGCTGCATTTGGTGTCCATTGGTTTCCTGAGAAATCCGCCCTCACTTTCGCAAAGTGATTGGTATTGATAGTCACTTGAGGTTTGAGATAATCTCGAAGTTCCTGGATATGTGGATTCAGGGCGCTCAGCTGCTGCATGATGTGTGTGTGTGTGTGTCGCCTGGCTGAGCTCGTTCCAGGAGGATTTGATAACTTCGCTCTGGTGCTAGTGTCCAAGGGTGTTGCATCAACCTGAAAGTCCGCCGATCTATTGCTGAGGGCCGATGGTTTGAAATCCCAGAAAACAGTTAGATTATCCATGGGAATACCACGGAGATGCTGTTGGTCAACTTCTTCGCGGATTTTCTTGCTATCGTTCGGTACGGTGTAGTGGTTTCAATCCGTGTGCAATAGTCTATGTAGATCGGCGGTGATTTATTTCCAAAGCGTGAGTAATCGGTTATGACCACCAGGACGCCATCACAATTGTCGAAGACGGCTGAAAACATGATGGCTCGATCTCGGATGGACGTGGATAATGGCATCAGTCCAGGGTACCGGCTGCCAGTCCCACCGATCATGTCGCCAGAGGAAGTGGCGCCGCGCATGGCTGGTATCTTCAATGGTAGTACTGCCTCGCCAATGCCGGGAGTAGGTTTGCCGTCGATGCCGGTGAAATGCGCTCGAGTATGCATTGTCCTGAAATCGTTGCCGTTCGGCACGTCCTTCTGGTATTGTCTGACCGTGTCCGTGCCAATGATGCCAGAGGACGTTCCAGGGTGATATAGAAGACCATGGCTCTTCGCTCCTCGTACTGCATGATAACTGGTATTGACTCCGTTCACGTTTTGGGTGACGCTGCGCTGGTCGTTGTCGGTTTCGTAGCACATACTAAGATGCCCAGACCAAGAAATCCAAGCCGCCAGGAACCACTCCACGAGGTAACCTCCTAGGCTCCAGCTCGCCTTCATTGTCGTCTGCTCGTGATGGAGATCCCAGTTCTGGTATTTCATGGTCATGATGTCTCCTCCGGATGATGGAGCTAGGCTTTCATCGATTGATGATCTCGCTCTTCATTGATGGAGGTGGAGTATGTGCCATTCTTGGTCTCGTAGTGGTGGCGATGTTGGCGCGGTAATTCAAACCAGTATCTGGTTGGCGATTCAAGGCCGTCTCCAGGCTGTGCGATGGTAATGGCTGAAGGGGTGACCATGATGATGTATTGCCTGCAGCTTCATTCGGTGAACATTTGGCTACGCTCGGTTTCGATAATGCTGGCTGGCTGGCTTTGTCGAGGTGATTTTGAGATCTGGTGAAATATTACCAACTGCCGTATTATTGATCCCAATCGTCATCTAGATCCTCATCGTAATCGTCACAATGCTTTCCATTTGTTTGCTTGCCTCTTCCACGCTTTTTTCCTGCTGCGATGAGCTTTACCACGTCCACGACTTTCACCATTGCCCACGATACTTACTTCGACCTTTGCTGGGTCCTTCTTTGTCTCCTTTGCCTTTTGCCTTTTCCTTTGTCGCTCCTGCTGGTGTCGTGGTCGTCGGTCTTCACCTTTTCTTTGGAGCTGGCTGGGCACTCCGCTGTCCTGTGCCGTTTGGAACCACATTTGCTACAACTGCCAAGGTTGTTCTTGGTGCCTTTCTTGCCGGCGCCCTTATAAGCCTCATCATTCTCATTTTGACGGTCGTATTAGTAATTCTCATCATCATTGTTCCTTCAGTTGGAGCGCAATCGTCATTTTCATAGTCGTGCCGTTGTCCGCAGTCATTAAAGCAGCCTTCGTAGTCCCAGTCATTTTCATTGTCCGAGTCGAACCAGGAGCCGTCGTGTTGAACAGGATTTTCTGGGCCAGGGACTGCTTCGCGAGACGTGTCAATCTTCAACTTGATGTCATCGGTACGCTTCGCCGATCGATCACATCCCTGCAAACGTAAGTAGCCCTCGCCAGCTGCGTTGATGTTCAATCCAGCTTGATCCGATGCCCCGCCGTAGACGAGCTCAAAGTCCGCAATATACTGTCCGTGGTCTCTTGGGCCTCTCCCGAATTGGAAGAAGCTGTCGAGGGCCACTCCAACGGTGTCCTGCTCGTGCAAGCCGTACTCTCGTTCCAACCATCGTGTGAATAAGTCAGGCATGAAGGTTGGGCCATTGCGCCATTGATTGGATCAGCTTCTTCTCGTGTTAATGCCAAGGTATTCTCTCCAATGAACTCCATACCATGTCTCTCGATCTTAAACCGCAATGCCTGTTTGTACACTCCTCCTTGCAGCCTCTGAAGAACGAGAAGAGCTGCCACAGCGTCGTCATCAATATTTGTGGTTCTCCACTGGGGTGGCAACTTTTGTAAATATTTCTGGACTCCATACTTGGCGATGCCCGGCTCATAGCCGCGAGGTGTTTGTTTGGTGCTCTCTTCCAGCAGCAACGACTGACCTCTGAAATCCATGTTTGTTGTTCACAGTTCAATAGGATAGTCTTATGCTTCCCCAGAATGACTCAACTCGTCGATTGGATAATTGCATGCTTTACCAATGTGAACGAACTGATTGATCGGATAATCGTATCTTTCACCGGGCGGGTGTGAATGAACTCGTCGGTGGAAATTCTATCAATATCAAGGTTGATAAGAATCGTCCTGCCAAGCCGTACCCGTGACGAGGAAGTCGCATATAGTGTTGCTCTGCGTCTCGATGTTGCGTCGCACCTCTCTGGAGTTGCTGCTCACCTCGCTGGTGATGCTGATCACCTCCTCGATGATCCGGTCCGCGTCTATCGCGGCAGGCGCTGGCCTGGCGGGGCGGGGCCGCGCGCGCGCCGCCCGTGGGCGGCTTCGCTACCAGAGCGGAGATCGCTCGAAGGATTGCAAAAAAACCCTCGAAGGATTGCAAAAAAGGGTTTTTTTGCAATCGCTCGAAGGGTTTTTTTGCAATCCTTCGGTTTTTTTGCAATCCTTCGGTTTTTTTGCAATCCTATTTTCTGAGAGCTTGAGCCCCGGTGTTCAGACGGAGGCGCCATGTCACATGTCGCTGAAATCACGCAAGCACACGATAAGAACATATACCATCCATGCACGACCTCTGATTATGCAGCTTCGCTCGGGAAGGAGGGGAATGAGGACGGGGGACGGGAAAGAGAGGGATGGGAAGGAGCATCGGGGTATTCAGAGTGTTGAGGGCTTCTGGGTTCTGGGGTGCTTTCTGGAGTGGTTGGCGGTTGCGGGCAAGGACCTCGGGGAGCTGGAGGCCCTGCGGCGTGAAGTCCAGGGCTTAGCGCCCGCAGACACGGCGGCAGAAGCAGAAACGCCCTTTGACTCTCTCCGGGCAGAGAGAAGCGCGACGGCCAGATTCTCCAGGGGCCCGTTTGGGACCCCCGGGGCCCATAAACGGCACTTGGCATCGCTCGGACGTGTGCATTTTTCCTTCGCCGAGGACCATCGACGAGCATCCTTGATCATTTGGCGAAAGAGCCACGCACGAAACCGCAAAAAAACACAGGGAATGGACGTCCGAGCGATGACCAGGATTCTCCAGGGGCCCGTTGGGGACCCCCGGGGCCCACGAACGGCAGAGCACGGCGCAAGGTGTGTGAGGAAGAGGTGGAGCAGGCAGCTCGGGCGCCCCGCGCCTGGGAGAGAGCGCCGGGGCGTCGGCGGCTGTCCGTGGGTCTATGGTTGTGGAAGTCGACTCATGGAGAGGAAGCATGCTGCCAAATGATTTCCAGATGTCTAAGACATGTTTCACACATGCTTTAGATATGTTGAAACATGTTTGAAACATTGTTAGAACATGTTTTACACATTTTAGGTAAAATCATGTTTAATCCAGTGAGAGGATTGCTACAGTTTCCCTTGTCATGGCATCCACAAGTCTATGGGCCACGCCACTGGTGTTGAGTCGGGCCTGTCCCTCTACAAAAGGAATATTCAAAAATAGTCAAGAAATAGTCTGCGGACGACTCGTTGAGCATTTCTTGGCTATTTTGAAGCATAATTTGCGTATTGTAGTTTTTCGTCCAAGATCTGCCTGTAGGGGGGCATGACCGACCTAACATTGGTGATCACAGATCGCGGTGATCGGGGGGGAACGTGATTCTAGGCCTACCAGCTGGGGTCCAGGCAGATGGAGTCGAAGGATCGCACGTCGCTCAATGTGCAGCGACTGCGCCGAGACATCGCCGACGTCGCCTGTGCATCGCCAATACATCGGCAACACATCAATTCCTCAATGCATCGGCAGTGCATCGGCGATGCATCGGCGATGCGGCGCGGTCCTCCGACCCCATCCATTCCGACCCCAAGTATGAGGCATTCAGTGATCGTGATCTCAGTGATCAGCCTGTAGTCGGTCCCGAGTCCTTGTGACTTAGCGTACTGATCGACACGACGGGGTGACGTGATCGTCGCGGTAGCCGGCCAGACACAAGGTGAAGGGCCTGTTGAACAAGGTATGCCCCGAGAAGTTTACGACCGTCGTTGAGAAGCTCATCGCGATCAAGGTGACCAGTGTCGAGGCCCTCGAGATTATCATAGAGCTGATCTTCAAGAAGGCCCTGTCGGAGCCGCACTACAGCGAGACGTACGCGGACTTGGTTTTCAGCCTCCGCTCGGTTTTCCCTGAGTTCCCGGCGCCAGATGGCGGAAGGCCGACGACATTCAAGTCATCCGTGCTCAACATTTGCCAGGTCGAGTTCGAGGAGCTGTTGGCTGCCCCAGAGCCTTCCGAGCACGAGAAGGCGGGCCACGGCTGCGAGGAGCTCGAGGCGCTGTGCCAGGAGCGCCGCGGGCGGATGCGGGCAAACATGCGCTTCGTGGGCCACCTCTTCCTGCGCCAGCTCCTGTCCACGAAGGCCAGGTGCTGCCAGAAACGGTGCCGGTCCAGGATGCTCTTGGTCAGGAGGAGGAGGAGGAGGAGGAGGAGGAGGAGGAGGAGGAGGAGGTGGAGAGGAGGAGGACATTCTCACTTCCCCCCTCGCCTGCCGCCGAGAATCGGCGGGCGAGGGGCGCGCAGGCGGCCCCAGGCGCCGGGGGCGGTGTGCATCAATTGCAGTCGGACCGAGGTCCAAGATCGAGGTCGGTTCTGGGAGGGATTATATATCTATACATATGTACATAGATAGATAGATAGATAGATAGATAGATAGATAGATAGATAGATAGATAGATAGATAGATAGATATATAGATATATAGATAGATAGATAGATATATATATAGATAGATATATAGATATATATATATATATATATAGATATGAATACAAAGATTGCAGTCGGACCGAGGTCTAAGATCGAGGTCGGTTCGGGGAGGGATATATCCTCATGCTCTTCGTTGTCTGTTGGAGGTTCTTGTGCTTCCCGGGGGAGGGCACCCTCGGAGGTTCTCTGTGCGTTTTGGCCAGCGGAGGGTCCCATGCTCTTGGGGGACGTGCTTCTGCCCCAGGTCCGACTGTACCGGCATCCCCCAGGTAGTCCCGGCTGGCCTCCGCAGGCCCCCGGGGGCCTCCACAGTCCCGCCATGGCGGGGCCTCCTGGGCCCTCTTTGGGCCTTCTCGGGAGCGTCATCTGCGAGGGGTGCTTTGGAAGCCATCCGCCCGATAGATCCGATCACAGGTCGGTTTTGGCTAGCCCGATCCGATCCGACTCCGATGCTCCGACGATCCGATGTGGCGCGGTGTTTGCACGGCGCTGCTGCGCATCCGGGCGCAGCCGATCCCATTCGAGTTCGACTCCGCGTCGCTGCAGCCCGATCCGACGAAGATCTCGGTTCGATGCAGCTCCCTGTTTCGATGCTGATGGATCCTGGCCTGGGACCAGGGCTGGACCCAAGCGGTGTTTTGGCCATCTCGTGGGCCATTTCATATGTTTCGTTTTGTTGTGCATCCAGAGCGAAGCGAAGGCAACACGAGGAAGAACGAGAAACAACACGAACACGAACAACACCGCTTAGGTTCAGCCCTGGGCCAGTCTGGCAGCACCCGAGAAGAGGTGGTGTGCGGCATCCTTCGGGAGCTCGTGCTCTGCGACCTGCAGGACGTCGCACCGCAGGAGCACGCCCTGGACTGCGCGTGCGAGCTGCTGAACAGCGTCGGATTCACGCTGGAGGCCAGCGTAAACACACACAAATCACACACTCACACTCACAAAACAACACTTACACAAAACACACACACACACATACCACACACACACATGCACACACACACAGACACACCAACACACACACACACACACTCTCACACACACGCACACTTAGAAAGCCCAGCTTTCGCTGGGACTGGATCTCCCCCAGCATGACCCAACCAACACGGCCGAAACCTGCCAGAAGCCCACCCTGCACCCTCCGAGAAGCGCCTCGGGACCCGTCGGGGAGGGTTTTCGGACGGTTCCGGGAAGGCTTGGAGGGACAACCAGACCCCGGCGAGCCCGGAGTGTTCTACATTTCAGCATTGTTCTGGCAAGTTCGTGGCTCGTTTCCGTTTTCTCGTCGTTCTCGTTCTGTGTTCATTTCGGGGCTCACCATTGGCCAATCGTGATTTCAGATTTGCGCCAAAAGTATGTTTGGGGGCATCGGTCGTACCAGCACGAAAACGGCACGACAGCGCGAACCAAAGACTGTTTTGGTCGACCCCTACTGGAGGCCATGCCCTCTGGCCAGTGCGCGCTGCCCGTCGTCTTTGGCCGCCTGGACGAGCTGCGCGCCATGAAGACTCGTGACGGCAAGAGCTTGTACACCAAGAGGATCCAATTCATGATCAAGGACGCCATCGACCTCCGAAAACGGCCACACACCCAGACATGCTCGCGCCGCGAGGCGAGACATCGCGACGGACAGGTTCTGTTCCATCCGTGTTCGGCGTCGGAGGGCCCTCGCCGTCCCCCGGGACCGTCAAACACAGCTCGGAAGCATCCAGACATCGTGCTCGGCGGCGCGCCCAGGGGGCAAGTGCGAGGGGGCAGGCTTGCTCAGCTGGCGACGTGGCTTCGGAGAGGGCTGAGAAAGTCGCTCCGAGGCCTTCTGGGCCTCCTGAAAGGATCTGCCCCCTTCCTTGAGATCCGACGTCGCGAAGAAGTCGAGGCATCGTCAGACATCAGGACCAGAGCCCAAGACCCCATCTTGCCTGCTGCAGTTTTTCCAGCTGGATCGATCTGTGAGGGTCCTGGAGCCCGGAACTGGGCGAAAAGCGCCCGACAAGGACATCATCGACACCCGCGAGGCCGGCTGGACCAGGAAGGTGTTCCGCAGCGCCGCCAAGACCAAGGAGGAGATCCGAATGAACTCTGCCGGTCAGGGCCCGCACGGCGAGACGGTGGTGGTCGGTCAGAGGCCGCTCTATCTGAGCGCCGACCCTGAACGCTTCTTGCGCGTGTGCACGGCCTGAGTTCCAGGGGGACGGATCAATGTCTGCGTAATCGAAGACGCCCCTCGGCGAGTCACCGCCGCCCCCTGCCTTTCTCAGAGGCGGCGCAGGCATTATGACTGGGGCCCGTCTTCATACCGAATTCGGCGCGCTCCGTCGCCAAATGAGGCGACATTGGCTTCATGTGTCGTCAGTGCCTTCCCCGATCCATGGGTCTTGCGGCCACGCGCCAGACCAACGGATCCGTAATCCGCGCTAGCGTGTGCTCGACCTTCTGAGATCACCTGTGTGGTGGTATGTCATTGCCGTCGAGGAACTTCACGCTCTGAATCTGGCCTTGTCCCCCTTCGTGACCGCCGCCTCTTCTCCTCCGCGTCTCCTCTTGTGCGCAGGCAGCGTCCGCTTCCGTGTCCTGCCCGGGGCAGGCTCTCCACCGCCGCGCGAATGGCCTTGCAACCGCGAACCAAGGAGTATGTGATGAAACCTCGAAAGAAGCTGCGGCCGTAACAATGGACTGCGTGTTGTGGACGGTGTGTTCCCCCAATCGTTAGGGAGACCACTGGGGAAACACCGGGAAGGGGCTCGAAAAGGCGACAACGCGAAGCTTGTTGAATAATCTAAGGGGTCTCCTGCAGCTTGGACCATTTGGGGACCTCCTGGATGCCCTCTTGGAGAAACTTGCAGCGCCGTGGTGACCTGGGGCCCGTCTTCAGACCGTCCTGGATCCATCCGGGGCTGCATTGGAGGCATATTGGTGTCATCTTGCGCGTTTTTGGGCCAGATTGGCCGTCCAAGAGGCGTATTTGGGCAATTGTTTGGGCCCTCTTGGCCAACTTGGAGCCATGTTGTTTTGGTGCATTCCCCAACCATCCTGTGGTGTTGGGTCTTCGTTTTGAAGAGACGGCGCCCCGCGTCACCTCCTCCCGCCCTCCTCCTCCTCCTCCTCCTCCTCCTCCCTCCTCCCTCCTCCCTCCTCCCTCCTCCCTCCTCCCTCCTCCCATCCCTTGCCCCTGTCCTCAAGATGTCCTCATTGTCGTCATATGCGCGAATGCAGTTCCACCTCAATTTCGGCGCACACCTCACACGTTCCGTGGCCTGCGCGCATGCAGTTCCAGCTTTTGCGCACCCCTCAGCGTTTCGTGGCCTCATAGGTGCTCCACCGAAGGCCCCAGTGGCAGGGTCCGCATGCAGTTCCACATCCATTTCGGTGCACCCCTCACACGTTTCGTGGCCCCATGGGGTGCTCCGCCGAAGCCCCAGTGGCAGGGTCCGCATGCGGATCCACATCCACTCCGGTACGTCCCCCACACGTTTCGTGGCCCCATGTCCACCGAGTGCCCCAGTGGCAGTGTGCGCGTGCGTCCGCCCCACCCATGTCGGCATACCCCTCGCATGCTTCGTGCCCCCATAGTAGGGAACTCCACCGGGGATCCCAGGGGCTGCTTTCGCATGCGCTCACCGCGCCCATTTCGAGACATTCTTCACACTTTTCGTAGCCCCATATAGTCAGTTCCACCGAAGGTGATACTCACAAGTGCGTTACTCACAACTGCATATGGTTGGGTCGTTCGCCAGGCTAAGTTTTTTACTTCCAGTTGGCGTCGGCTTCGGCCGAGAGCCATTGGGATTTGTTTGGAAGTGGCAGCATGTATATATACATACATATAAATGTACATATATACACATACATACATACAGACAGACAGACAGACAGACAGACACATACACATACACATACACATACACATACACATACACATACACATACACATACACCTACACCTACACCTACACATACACATACACACATACACATACACATACACATACACATCCACATCCACATCCACATCCACATCCACATCCACATCCACATCCACATGCACATGCACATGCACATGCACATGCACATGCACATGCACATGCACATGCACATGCACATGCACATACACATACACATACACATACACATACATGCATACATGCATGTATACATATATTCACAAACATATAAATATAAATATATATATAGGCAGAAACACTACCCCACGGTAGGCCACACGGGCGGCGGATCTAGCGTTGGTCGGCCCAATCCACCACTCTGCTGGGGCTGTGGATCTCCCGAGGGATGTCTCGTGCGTGGCCTGCTTGGGGCCTCCTGGGGGTCCCTTGAGGGCGTCTTGGGGGCCTGTTGGAATATAGTGCGGCTTATTGGGGTCCTTGTTTGGCTGTTTTGAGTTCTCTTGTGGCTTGTCGGTGGTCTCGGGGCCATCGTGGAGGGGACTGGCTCGAACTCTCAGTTCGCGATCTTGCTCTTGGGCCAGTCTTGGGGCCATCTTAGTGGCCTCCCTGGTCCTCTTGAGGGTCGCGGGGTCCGTCCTGGGGCGATGTTGGTTCTTCTGAGACCGACAAGGTGGTCAGGCACAACACTTACTCACTGCCTGGAGCTTCCCATGTGTGCATCTATTTGCATGGACCTGTCCGCCGTGAGTGTCTAGGCGCAAGAGCTTTCGGATAGAAGCGGGCTTGAATATTGACGGTCTGGCAGCGAATCTAATTGTGAATGGGTTGGAGTGTGAAGGAGTCTCAGTAGTATTGGTGTGTCTCCGCGCATGAGCTTGGGGCCTTCTGGGGCCTCTTGAAACCTCCTGGGGCTTCCTCGGGTCTCCTGGAGCCTCCTGGGGCCTCCTGGGGCCCCTTGGGGCTTCCTGTGGCATCCTGCTCCTGGGGCCTCGCGTGGCGCGAACGGAGGAGTGAGATACCCCCTGGCGGCTCCCCCTTGGGGGTGCTGACATCTGCTCCGCCATCATCATCATCATCATCATCATCATCATCATCATCATCATCATCATCATCATCATCATCATCATCATCATCATCACCAGCATCATCATCATCATCATTATCATCATCATCATCATCATTATTATCATCATCATCATCATCATCATCATCATCATCCGTATCATCAGTATCATCATCATCATCATCATCACCATCATCATCATCATCATCATCAACATCATCATCAGCAGCAGCATCATCATCATCACCATCATCATCAGCAACATCATCAGCATCAACGTCAACATTAGCATCGGCATCATCATCATCATCAGCATCATCATCAGCATCATCATCATCCTCATTATCACTACCACCACCACCACCCATATCATCATCATCATCATCATCATCATCATCATCATCATCATCATCATCAACATCAACATCAACATCAACAGCATCAGCATCAGCATCAGCATCAGCATCATCACCATCATCATCATCATCCTCATCATCATTGTCGCCATCGTAGTCATCAGCATCATCACCTCATCATCATCATCATCATCATCATCAGCATCATCATCGTCGTCGTCATCATCAGTGGGTCAGAGCATGCTCGAGTCTGAGTGATGTGCGAGTCTGAGCGATGAGTGAGGTGTGGGTGTGACTGTCCTTCTGGTGTGGTGAAAATAATGATTCACCGCGAGGAGCTCCCCATGTGCGCATCTATTCGCATGGACCTGTCCGCCGAGAGCGTCTAGGCGCCTCCTGAACCTCCTGGGGCTTCCTGGGGCCTCCAGGAGCCTCTTGGGGTCTCCTGGGGCCTCTTGGGGCTTCGAGTAGCCTCCTGAGGCCTCCTGGAGCCTCGCGTGGCCTCCTGGGGCCTCCTGGGACCTCCTAGGGAGGAGTCGTGCCACGGGGGAGATGCCCCATCTATAGGAACACACGTACAGAAAAATTGCGGATTGGAGCCACAGGAGAAGGGCAATATATGGGAACACATGTAAAGCACAAAGGACTCGTGTCCCAGGGGAGGCCCAATCTATAGAAGCACACGTAAATCATTTAGGATTGTATACACAGGAGAAGAACAATCCATAGAAACATACGTATAACATCAAGGATTCGTGCTCCGGGTGAGACCCAATCTATAGGAGCATACGAAACACACATGGGATTGGAGCCACTCCTGTTGCCTTCTGATGCCTCCTGCTCCTGGGGCCTCTCGGGGCCTTCTGTTGCCTTCTGGGGCCTCCTGGCGCTTCCTGTGGCCTCCTGGGGCCTCCTGGGGCCTCCTGAGGTCTCCTGGAGCTTCCTGGGGCCTCCTAGAGCCTCGTGGGACATCCTGAGGCCTCTTGAGTCTTCCTGTTGCCTCCTGATGTCTCCTGGGACCTGTGGCCTCCTGGGGCCTCCTGGAGCCTCCTGTGGCGTCCTGGGGAGAATCTGTGCCCACGAGCTTGGCCAGCAAAACAAGCAAACCGCTCGAGACATCCTCGTAATCTGGGCTCCCTGGGGTGCGATAACCAGCGCCTCGCACGAGACAGCCTCAGAATCTGCTCCGAAAACGAAAGGTGTTCGCGACCAAAACAGGCAAACCGCCTAAGACATCCCCGCAATCTGGGCGCGAACGGAGGCCGTGAGATACCCCTGGCGGCCCCCCCTAGGAGGCGCCTCGCACGAGACATCCTCAACATCTGCTCCGAAAACGAATGATGTTCGCGACCAAAACAGGCACACCGCTCGAGACAACCCCGCCATTGTGGCGCGAACGGAGGCCGTGAGATACCCCTGGCGCCCCCCCCCTTAGGAGTGCTGAAACCAGCAAACCGCTCGAGACATCCTGGGAATTTGCTCCGCGATCATCATCATCATCATCATCATCATCATCATCATCATCATCATCATCATCATCATCATCATCATCATCATCATCATCATCATCACCACCACCATCATCATCATCATCATCATCATCACCATACTCATCCATCATTCACCATCACTATCATACTCACATCATACTCTCACCATACCATGGTCATCGTCATGACACTCATCATCATCGTCATCAGCTAGTGCAGAAGGAGGAGGGAGGGGAGGGGAGGGATGATGATGAGGGGTCCAGCGCGGTCAGAGAATTACAAGAATGCCATCCTTTGGATTTGGGGAATAACAAGAACCCCATCCTTTGGATATGGGGGATAACAAGAGCCTCGTCTTAGGATATGGGGAATTAGGAAACATTGTATTGTCCAAGAAGGGTGTTTTTTTGGACCGGCCCTCAGGGCCTTCAAGACGGCCCGAGAGCGTTCACGAGGTCTCCATTCAGCCACGCGCAGAGGGGAGTGGCGGGAGAGGGGAAGGCTCCTTAGAAGGACCCCCCCTTCTTAGAAGGCGCGGGTGCCCCTTCTCAGAAGTTTGTGGCTGCTTCATGAAAGTTGTTCCTGGTGTGCTTCTATGAAGCAGGTTTGTTTCTAAAAGGCCATTTGGGTTCTAAGAAGCAGTTCCGTGCTTCTAAGAAGCTTCTGGGATGCTTCTAAGAAGCGGCGCGCCCTGGGCTTCGTAGAAGGGTAGACGGCGCCTTCTAAGAGGAAGCCGCCCTCCAACAAGCATTCCCCCATCCCTCTACCCCCTAGTGCGCGCCGCCAATCCATGACAGCCTTTGGGGCCATCCCAGGCCGTGTTGAAGTATGGATGGGATCCAGCCGCGCTCCCGAGGCCTCATGTCATGCAGATTCACCCGAGCCGCCCCAAGAACGCCTGGAAGCGTCCGGGCCGGGCGGCCCGACAGCGCCCGTGAATTCGGGCCCCTAACCCTTCAAGCAGCGTTTACCAGATTCGGGACCATGGGCTCGAATGGACCCGGCGACACCTCACTCAGTGCCTACGGCGCGGTGGCGGATCTCGGCACAGCGGGAACGCGCACGAGTCCGACTCTAGCGGGGCCTTGCTTTGGTAGCGTCTGCCACCCGCTTGCGTTCTGTGTCTGCTCGGCGCCGTGCCACCGCAGGCTGCGCTGACGGCGCGGGCGTTTGGCAGCGGTATACTTCCGGACAGCACCAGGAATAATACGGACCTCGCTGCAGCAAGAATAGAGATTCGCACACCGTGCGATGCATTTCCAGCTTGCTGACCGTCGTCCGGAGAAGTAGTCACGCTCTGGGTGCAGTGCTCTGGCTTAAACCAGGACGTTGGCGCATCTTGTTAGTCGTACCAGTTACTCATTGCTCATGCTGCTAAGGCCAGCACGCTCAGTTTTCCGTTCCTGCCAGCCTGAATCAGATCCCCATCCCTATGATTGGCATCACTTTATCTGGATGCCGATCAGGAGGATTCCCTCAGTCTTTGAGGGCGCATCCCTAAGACTGGCATCGCCTTTGAGCTATGGGCTTGTCAACCTTAGGGGTAGGGATCAGTTCGTGGCTGGTCGGTTACATGTCAATTGCGCTCTGCCAGGGCTGTTATTAGTGCGAAGTACTTTATCAGGTTGTAGCGAATTGTGCTCCCTCAGGGCGTTTGTCTTTCGACTGTTTTTCAAGTGGCTTACGCCATTCTGGCGACCCCCACAAGGAGTGAGTGTTTGAGACGATCGTGGAAGTGTCAGATGGGTCAGGAGCCTCCTGGATGAATCTGAGGGTCTCTTGGGATGCCTCTCTGGGGCCTCTTGGAGAACTCTGGGAGGAATGTGGGAGACGTTGGGGGGCCTCGGGGGGGCTTCTTGGGGGCGTCCTGTAGGCTTCTTGGGGACTCTTGGAGGGCCCTCGGGGGCATCTAGGGGGCTCGAGGGCCCATCTCGGTGGGAAAGGCTCGAAATGTCAGTTCGTATTCTCCTTCTTGGGTTTTCTCGAAGCCTTCTTGGGGCCCTCCAGGGGCTGTCTTGGGCCGTCTTGGGGTTCCCCTGGGGTTGTTTTTGAGACCTGTTGGGACGTGTTGGGCTTTCTTTGGGGCATCATGAGCCGTCTTGGGACGATCTTGGGGGCCACTTGGGCCGTCGTGTTCGCTGTCCAAACGTCAAATGCGAATGTGCTGAACATTTACGTTTTCCCTAGGGGAGGGGATGATGTTGGCCTCTTAGGGCCCTCTCGGCGATCCTCTGGAGGCGCTTCTGGGCTGTCTTGGGGGCCTCTTGGGCCTCCTTGAAGAAGCCATCTTGGATCGTCGTGGAGCCACCCTGGGCCGTCATGACGCCCTCTTCGACTGTCGTGCCGCTCTGTCTGGGCCCTGTTGGGCTGCCTTGGGGCTTTTTGGGGGGCTCGGGAGGCCCCCGGGGTGCGTTGACGAGCTCGTCGCCCCCACTCCCCTCGTCCCCCCCCCCTCCCTAGAGTGGCATGTTTGACCCCAGGGGAAGGGGAACGAGGGAGGGGGACAGCCAAATGTCTCACACGTCTTGTCGCCCCCGGCAAGCGGGGGTCAGCGGAGATCCAGGGAAGAGTTCATCGTGCCTGGCTCCTTGCAAGTGAGGAATCACAAAATATATGTTGGCTGAGATGTAGCGTGAATGCTGGTAATGCGCACGTGTGACTGCCGATGTTCATATCAACGATGTTGTGGATGATGAGGGTGTTCATTGCGATGATTTGATGGTGAAGACGTGCATCACTGCGGCGATGGTTACTATGATGCCTGACATCTATATACCATGTTGCACCACGCTCCATGCTTCGCCCCGTAAGGACAGGACTGTAAGCACATTGGAAAGAGTGCGCCCGCCCGTCGCACACACTTCTCATAAAAGGAGGGTTCCAGCTTGAAGCTACCCTTCCCATCCCTTGGAAAAGAGGGGGGGGCTTCCGAAGCTACCCCCCCCCCTCCCTTCCTTCTGTCGGCATTCTGGAGCTAGGGGCTAAAAGGGGGTGGGCTTCAAAGCTACCCCCTTTCCCTCCTTTCCCAGAGCCCAAGGTCAGCCCGCGCTTCCGTTTCAAGGGGGCGGGACTTCGGAAGCTGCCCCCCTTCTTTTCGCAGCTGAGACTGCCTTGCCAGAGGGGGGAGGCTTCAAAGCTGCCCCCTCCCTCCATTTCCGGAGCCGAGGGTCAGCTCGCGCTTCCTCTTCAAAGAAGGGGGGGGGGCTTTGGAAGCTGCGTCCTTCTTCCTTTCGCAGGTGAGATTGCCTTGCCGGGGGGGGGTTCAAAGCTACCGCCCCCCCCTTCCTTCGTTTTCTGGAGCCCAAGATCAGCGCGGGTTTCCCTTTCAAAGCGGGGGAGCTTCGGAAACACTCACCCTTTTTCCCTTGTTCCGCAGCTGGGATTGCCTTACCAAGGGGGGAGGGTGGAAGGTACGCGTTCCTTTTGCTTGTTTCTGGGGCCGAAGGTTCGCCCGGGCTTGCCTTTGCAAGGGGAGGGGGGGCGCGTCGGAAGCTACCTCCCGCCCCGCGCCTCTCCTATCGAAGCCGGGGGTTTTGCAAAAGGGGGCCCAGCATGCGCCTGGCGCGTGCGCGCGGAGCACGTGTTTTCATCGTTTTCGGGCCACGACGGGGCCGCAAACGAGGGATCGAACTTGGAGTGCGCGGAGGGGGGGTGCCCAACATGCCCCTGGCGCGTGCGCGCGGGGCACGTGTTTTCACGCGTCCACCGGGCCCCAGGGGGTCCCAACTTGGGGGTGGCGGGTTCTTTGCATGTTAAAATGCCTGCGCAGAGGAGGGGCAAGAAAAGAGGGGGCCAACATGAGGGTGTCGCGTGCGCGTGGAGCTGCTGTTTGAACATGGGATTCTCTGGCGCGTGAAAGTGCGGATAGGGGGGGGCAACATGCCTCTGGCGCGTGTGCGCGGGGCCCGTATTTTCACGTGTGCACTGGACCCCACGGGGAACCAATTTTGGCGTGGTGGGTTCTTTGCATGTGCAAATACGCGTGCGAGGGGGGATGGGCAAGGGAGGGGGGGGGCCCAACATGAGTGTGGCGCGTGCGCGTGGAGCTGGTGTTTTAAAATGGAATTCTCTGGCGCGTGAAAGTATGTTCGCCGGGGGGGGGCAACATGCCTCTGGCGCGTGTGCGCGGGGCACGTGTTTTCACGTGTCCACTGGACCCCACGGGGGAACCAACGTTTGGGTGGCGAGTTCTTCGCATGTGCAAATTCGTGCGCGAGGGGGGGGGCAACGAGGGGGGGCCCAACATGCGCCCGGTGCGTGCGCGCAGAGCTCGTGCTTTCGCATGTTGCGGGCCACGACGGGGCCGCAAGCGAAGGACCCAACTTGCAGGTGCCGAATTTCTCACACGTAGGAAGACGCGCGCGGAGGGGGAGGGGGCAACATGCCCTTGCATCCGAGCCGCCCGCTGCCGTCGTCGCCCTCGTCGTTCCTTCGTTCCTCGTCGGCATGGTCGCCAGAAGGCAGGGCGGATGAGGAGGGGGAGGTGAGCGAGCAGGAGGAGGAGGAGGAGGAAGAGGAAAAAGATGGGGAGGGCGACGACGCAGGATGATATGTTTGATTATGGTTCAACAGTTATACTGGCAATGGTTGTGGCGATGATGACGCTTATGATGCTGATGATGATGATGATGGTGATGATTATGATGATGATGATGATGATGATGATGATGATGATGATGATGATGATGATGATGATGATGGTGATGGTGATGGTGATGGTGATGGTGATGGTGATGATGATGATGCTATGATGATATGATGATGGTTATGATCGTGCTGATGGTTTTCGGCGCCGCTTTGATTTGTGGTGTCCTTTTTGATTTTCGGCGCCAGTTTGGTTGTCGGTTTTCGGATTCCCCTTTGGCGTTCGGTACCTCTTCGGTTTCTATCCCCCTTTGGTTCTCGGCGCTCCTTTGGTGGTGATCGGCGCCCCTTTTGTTTTCGGCGCGTTGCTGCTTTTCGGCGCGTTTTGTGTTTTCGGCGCCTTTTTGGTTTTCGGCGCCGTTCTAGTTTTCGCATCTCTTCGGCCTGCGCGGCCCTCTTTCGGTTTTCATCGCCCTTGGGGTTTTCGGCGCTTCTTTGGATTTCGGCGCCCTTTTGGTTGTCGGCGCTCCTTGATTTTCGGCGTCCCTTTTGTATTCGGTGTTCCTTTGTTTTCTGCGCCCTGTAGGTTTTTTGCACCCCTTCTGTTGTTGGCGTCTCTTTTGTTTTCGGCGCCGTCTTGTTTTTGTTCGGCGCTCTTTTGGTTTTTGGTCTCCTCTTCTTGTTCCATGCGCCCTTGTAGTTTTCGGCGCCGTCTTGTGTTCGGCGCCGTCTTGGTTTTATCGGCGCATCGTTTGGAGTCGGCGTCCTTTTTGGTTTTCGGCGTCTCTCCGTTTTTTGGCGCCCTTCTGGTTTTCGGCGCCTCACTGTTGTTTCGGTTCCTCTTTGGTTGTCGGCGCGCTTTAGGTTTTCGGCGCTTTTGGTTTTCGGCGCAACTTTGGTTTTCGGTGCTCCTGTGGTTTTCGGCGCCGTTTTGATTTTCGGCGCCCTTCTGGTTTTCAGCGCTCTTTTGGTTTTTTGGGCGCCCCCCCTGTGGTGTTCGGAGCCCTTTTAGTTTTCGGCGCCCCTTTGGTTTTCTGCGCACGCTCTCAGTATTCGGCGACTTGTTGGTTTCGGCGCTCTTTGGGATTCTGGCACCCCTCAAGTTTCTGGCGCTTTTTTGGTCTTCGGTGTTTTTCTGGTTATCGGCGCTCATTTTGTTTTTCGGCGACCGTTTGGTTGTCGGTGCTCTGTTGGTGTTTGGCGCCTTGCTGGTTGTCGGCACCTCTTTGGTTTTCGGCACCCTTTTCGTTTTCGGCGTCGATGTTGTGGGCGCCCCTCTGGTTTTCGGTACCCCATTGGTTTTCGGTGTTCTTTTGTTTTTCGGCGCCCATTTGGTTTTCGGCGCCCTTTTGGTTGTTGGCGCTCTTTGGTGGTTTTTCTAGCCCCTGTGGTTTTCGGCGCCCGCCCGTTGGTTTTCGGCGCCCTTGGGGTTTTCGGCTACCTTGCTGTGTTCGGTGTTTTTTTTCCTTTCGGCGCTCCTCTGGTTTTTGGTACCCTTTTGTTGTTCGGCGCCCTTGTGGTTTTCAGCGCCCTTTTGGTTTTCGGCGACCTTTTGGTTTTCGGCGCTCTACTGGTTCTCGGCGGTTTTTGGGGTTTCGGCGCCCGCCCTTTTGGTTGTCGGTGCCCTCCTGGTTTTCGGCGGCCTTATGGTGTTCGGCGCCTTTTTGTTATTTTCGGCGCTCCTTTGGTTTTCGGTGCCCTTTTTGGTTTTCTGCGCCCCGTTGGTATTCGCCGCCCCTTTGGTGTTCGGCGCCCCTTTGTTGTTTCTCTCCCCTTTGGTTTTCGGCGCCCTTGTGATTTTCAGCGCCGTCTTGTTTTCGGTCGGCGCTCTTTTGGTTTTTGGGCGCCCCTTTTTGTTCTGGCGCCCTTCTAATTTTCGGTGCATCTTTTGTCTTCGGCGCCCTTTTGGTTTCCAGCGCATCGTTGGTGTTCGGCGTCCTTTCGGTTTTCGGCGTCTCTCTGGTTGTGGGCGCTCCTTTAGCTTGCATCGTCCCATTGTTTGTTGATGCCTTTGTGGTTTTCGGCGCCTCTTGGCTTATCGGCGTTTAGTTTTCGGCGCCCTTGGTGTTTTCGGTGCCCCTTTCTGTTTTCGGCGCCCGTTTGGATTTTTCGCGCTCTTCCTGGTTGTCGGCGTCCATTTGGTTTTCTGCGCCCCTTTGGTTTTCGGCGCTCGTATGGTTTTCGGCGCATATTTGGTGTTCGGCGTCCCGTTGGTCTTCGGCGTCGCTCTGGTGTTCGGCGCGCTGTTGGGTTTCGTGTTTTTTTTGGTCCGGCGCTCCTTTGGTTTTCGGCGCCCTTTTGGGTGTCGGCGCCTTTTTGGTTCTCGGCGCCCCTCTGGCTCTCGACGCCTTTTTTGTGTTTGGCGCTATGTTGGTTCTCGGCGCTTCTTTGGGTTTCGCCTCTCTTTTCGTTTTCGGCGCTTGTTTGGTTTTCTGCGCGCCCTTCGAGTGTGGCGACCTGTTGGTTTGCGGCGACCTTTTGGTTTCGGGCGCCCCTTTGGTCTGCGGCGCTCTCCTGGTTTTTAGGCGCTCTTTCGGTTTCCAGCGCCCGTTTAGTTTTCTGTGCTCGTTTAAGTTGCGCCCCCCTTGATTGTTTTGTTGGGGGGGGGTTCGGCGCATCGTTGATTATCCCCGCCCTTTTGGTTTTCGGCGCCTCTTTTGGAGGGGGGGAAGCTTCGGAGGGGCGGAAACAATGTAGGGGGGAGGGCTCCCGGCGGGGGAGGTCCAAGGGGGGGGGTTAGCTACGCCCCCCCCCTTGGGAAAGGAGAGGGGGTGGAGCTTCCGACGGCCCCAGAGGGCCCCAAGACGGCCCTGGAACCCGCCCAGACGGCCCAGATGGCCTCCAGACCCCCCGAGAAACCTCAACATTGTCCCAAGATGGCCTCGCGAGGCCCCCAGGGAGCTTACAAGATCAGCAGAGGCTCCCAAGAGGTCCACAGAAGGTAAAATCGTGCAACAAGCCACGGCAAAACACTAGGATTCAAGATCTCGCCTCATCGCTTCGCCTAGAGCCCTCAAGACATTTCAAAATGGTTCCGAGATGGCTTCGAATCGCCAAGACGGCCCCAGATAGCCTCCAGACAGCCCCAGGCAGCTTAAGATGACCCTTGGCTACGCTACTCCCGATCGACCCGAAGGCCGTGCCAGTCTAGAACTCGGAGGGAAACACTTGGCCCGTGCCTTCGGCACCCAGGCAAACGTGCGATCGTCTTGCTCGGATTGCTTCTCGGGCAGGCAGGGGCGGGGAGCGAAAGAGGGCGGGGGAAAGGGGGCAGGAGGGATGAAAACCGTCAGATCTCGTTCGCGGGGGCCTTCACGAAGAACTCCGCGCAGACAGGCACAGACTCAATCGGTCCACCTCTGAAGCGGTCGGCCTCGATGGCGCGCTCGACGAGGTCGCCAAGCATACGAAAGAGAACTCTACTGCGACAGATGTCCGTGTTCGATTTGCTGGACTAGCACATCTCTCTGGCGCTTGCGCCTGTTGCTCCATTCTGTGACCGGCGCTTCATGCGATGGCCAGTAAGTTGCCATGCTTCCTCCTCCAAACGTACCCACCCAACTATAAGCCTCAACATTTTCTTGTGTAGCGCGTCCAGGTTGTCGAGGTCCCCAAAAGGCTCCCAAAAGGCCTCCAAGAGGCTCCCAATAAGTTTTCAATATTTTTCCAGGAGGCGAACATGTGTCGCCTTGTCGCTTCCGAGGGGCCTCTCAGGCTTCAAAAAGCTTCCAAAAGGCCTCCAAGAGGCCTCCAGGAGACGCGAACATTTGCGAAGCGCAAAAGAAGACAGTCCGATGGACCTCTCAGGCCTCAGGATGGTCAACAAAATGCCCCACGAGGTGCCCTAAAGCGGCCCGAGACGGTCGCATGGAGCCCTCAAGACATTTCAAAATGGTTCCGAGACGGCCGAAGATGGCTTCGAGACGGCCTTCGAGACCGCCAAGACGGCCCCAGATAGCCTCCAGACAGCCCCAGGCAGCTTAAGATGACCCTTGGCTACGCTACTCCCGATCGGCCCGAAGGCCGTGCCAGTCTAGAACTCGGAGGGAAACACTTGGCCCGTGCCTTCGGCACCCAGGCAAACATGCGATCGTCTTGCTTGGATTGCTTCTCGAGCAGGCATTGGCGAGGAGCGAAAGAGGGCGGGGGAAAGGGGGCAGGAGGGATGAAAACCGTCAGATCTCGTTCGCGGGGGCCTTCACGAAAAACTCCGCGCAGACAGGCACAGACTCAATCGGTCCACCTCTGAAGCGGTCGGCCTCGATGGCGCGCTCGTCGAGGTCGCCAAGCATACGAAAGAGAACTCTACTGCGACAGATGTCCGTGTTCGATTTGCTGGACTAGCACATCTCTCTGGCGCTTGCGCCTGTTGCTCCATTCTGTGTCTGGATGTTGCGCTAGAGCCGCCTCCAGCCGGTGCTTCATGCGATGGCCAGTAAGTTGCCCTGTTTCCTCCTCCAAACGTACCAACCCAACTATACGCCTCAACATTTTCCTTTGTAGCGCGTCCAGGTTGTCGAGGTCTCCAAAAGGCTCCCAAAAGGCCTCAAAGAGGCCCCAAATCAGTCTTCAATATTCTTCCAGGAGGCGAACATGTGTCGCCTTGTCGCTTCCGAGGGGCCTCTCAGGCTTCAAAAAGCTGCCAAAAGGCCTCCAAGAGGCCTCCAGGAGACTAACATTTGCGAAGCGCAAAAGAAGACAGTCCGATGGACCTCTCAGGCCTCAGGATGGTCAACAAAATGGCCCACGAGGAGCCCTAAAGCGGCCCGAGACGGTCGCATGGAGCCCTCAAGGCATTTCAAAATGATTCCGAGACGGTCGAAGATGACTTCGAGACGGCCCTCGAGACCGCCAAGACGGCCCCAGATAGCCTCCAGACAGCCCCAGGCAGCTTAAGATGACCCTTGGCTACGCTACTCCCGATCGGCCCGAAGGCCGTGCCAGTCTAGAACTCGGATGGAAACACTTGGCCCGTGCCTTCGGCACCCAGGCAAACATGCAATCGTCTTTCTTGGATTGCTTCTCGAGCAGGCATTGGCGAGGAGCGAAAGAGAGCGGGGGAAAGGGGGCAGGAGGGATGAAAACCGTCAGATCTCGTTCGCGGGGGCCTTCACGAAAAACTCCGCGCAGACAGGCACAGACTCAATCGGTCCACCTCTGAAGCGGTCGGCCTCGATGGCGCGCTCGACGAAGTCGCCAAGCATACGAAAGAGAACTCTACTGCGACAGATGTTCGTGTTCGATTTGCTGGACTAGCAAATCTCTCTGGCGCTTGCGCCTGTTGCTCCATTCTGTGACTGGATGTTGCGCTAGAGCCGCCTCCAGCCGGTGCTTCATGCGATGGCCAGTAAGTTGCCATGTTTCCTCCTCCAAACGTACCAACCCAACTATACGCCTCAACATTTTCATTTGTAGCGCGTCCAGGTTGTCGAGGTCTCCAAAAGGATTCTTCCAGGAGGCGAACATGTGTCGCCTTGTCGCTTCCGAGGGGCCTCTCAGGCTTCAAAAAGCTGCCAAAAGGCCTCCAAGAGGCCTCCAGGAGACTAACATTTGCGAAGCGCAAAAGAAGACAGTCCGATGGACCTCTCAGGCCTCAGGATGGTCAACAAAATGGCCCACGAGCAGCCCTAAAGCGGCCCGAGACGATCGCATGGAGCCCTCAAGGCATTTCAAAATGGTTCCGAGACGGTCGAAGATGGCTTCGAGACGGCCCTCGAGACCGCCAAGACTGCCCCAGATAGCCTCCAGACTCCAGGCAGCCCCAGGCAGCTTGAGATGGCCCTTTGACGGCCCCGCCACGTTTCCAGGAGGCCTCCCAGAGACGAAAACCCGTGAACAGCAACAAGAAAACAATCCGATGGACCTCTCAGGCATCAGGGTGGTCAACAAAATGGCTTACGAGGAGCCCCGAAGCGTCCCAAGACGGTCGCCTGGGGCCCCTAAGGTCCTTCAAGATGTCTCCGAAGCGGTCGAAGATTGCGTCGAGACGGCTCTCGAGCCCGCCAAGACGCTCTTTGTTAGCCTCCAGGTGGCCCCAAACAGCTCAAGATGGCCCTCGGACGTCTCGGGGCCGAGAGCTAGAAATGTCCGTTTGGGTCCCCCGTCTGGGCCCCCTCTTGGAGCCGCCTTGGAAGCTTCTTGGACCCTCTTGGAGACCTCTTGGGCCTTCTTGGGGCCCTCTGGGGCCGTCGGGGGGCCCTTTTGGAGGCCCTTTGGGCCGTCCTGGGGCGATCTTGGGGGCTTCGTGGCCAGCCTTGGAGCGTCGAGAAGCCGAAGCGGCGAGAACGCCAGCACCTTTCAAGCACTTCGGAAAATTAGCGATGTTGGACTCTTGGGAGACCTGTTGGGGGCCTCTTGGGCATCTTGGACTGATCGCTCGGCGATTCCAGGCCCTCTTGGACCGACTTGGGGGCCCCTTGGGGCCTTCATGGCCCTTCTTGGGGCCGTTTCGGTCAAGAACAAATCATGCGACAAGATTCGACGCGCCCCAGGGGGCACGCGGAAAGCTCCAGAAGATTTG